CACACCGGAGCCACACCAAGATGCATACAAGTGCAGCCAAGTGCACCCCAACGTGCAACTTGTGTCCACCATAGCACCATAGCATGCACTCCAGCGTCAACGTCCTCCTCAGCGTACACTTGAGTGTCCACCCTAGCACCCCAGCATACACCCCTGTGATAAGGGTTGAATATTACATATTCGAGCCCCTAAATATACGTATGTTAAGACCTTAAGTAATACTTCTATCCAGTTTTAGACTGATTTATGTTTATTTCGTGTTTGTAGGTACTTTACCAAAGAAACGGTTAAAACTGTGATTTTATGATGAAAATATTGATATCGAAGCTTACAGAGTCGTTGTCGATCATCTGAAGCAAGCTTGGAGTCAAAATGGTGATTTCGGCCAAATTTTGCTCCCAAAGCTCGAGCAGTGATGGAAATTTTAGACCTGCTTCAGTATTTTAGGCATAACTTTTTACTCAAAACTCCAAATTGGGCAAACTAAGCATCTATGGAAAGAAGACTCGACGCCCAATGTTTTTACCTCTAATAGTGATTTCGAGATTTACACTTCAAATATGCCAAAATTGCGTTACAACTTTAGAACAAGTTGTTGACAAAAATAGTTCGAGCCGAAGTTCCAAATAGCTTGAGCTGAGACCAAATAGCTCGAGCTGGAACTCCAAGGATCAAGCACCAAGTCAAGGTGATCGAGCACTATGAAGAAAATTCCCAAAAGTACTCTAAGTGTTGATGAAAAAGATGCTTCGGAAAATATGGCTCGAGCTGAGGCCAAATAGCTTGAGCCGAAGTACTAAATAGCTCGAGCCGAAGCTTCTCGGCTTGAGCCATGTTGTTAAGTCAAAATTTAAAGTTGTGAGATTTATTTTAATTGTTAATATTCATCCCAGACAATGCCAGATGACCCCAGAAGACTTAAAGCCCATCTAAGCCTTATTAGAAGTCAATTTTACTATAAAAGGAGGCACAAAGCCACAAAAGAAGTCTCTCGATTCACCCTCATTTTTCTCTCATTTTGGTGGCGGCTTTTAGGGTTTTGAAGAAGAAGATCCAAATGAGTTTTTGGTGGTCCATGGAGATGACTTCTACAACATCAATGAAGACATCATTCCTCTCCATGAGTAGCAAAACTTCATCTTAGGGCATTGATGTAACCCGAATTTGATTATTATGGTTTGATTGTTCTATACTTTGGGATTTTCATTATTTATGTATTTTGATTGCATGATTTTGAGCAATTAACTTAGATCAATTGGGTTTTAATGAAGTATGTAGTTTTTGAATGATTAAGACCACGTCTTAGATTTAATTATTTTTAAATTATACTCAACCTATTATTAATGTACAAGATGGCGGCATAAGGGCTTCTTGGACAATAAGAATAGAGATCATGCAATGGTGTTCAAACGTATTTTATGAATGAATATTTTCATAGTCTATGCCTATGAAACATTAGTTATAAGTAGGTAAGTAGATAATTCGTGCCAACCGAAGATAGGTCATTATTAATTGAAATTCATGAACTATCTTTCTTTAAATCTGAATTAAATGAATGTTATTGAATTTAATTCCATATGATACATAATATTGAAATCCCAAGGTTGTGATAATTGACCATAGTATGAGGTTTGTGATAACACTCGATTCTAGAGCTACGGGTGATCAAGTCCGAGCACAGATCCGAGGGATACCAAACAATTAATACTTAAATGAACATAGATGACAAAAGAATTAAGAAATAAATAATAAAGCTGAAAGATTACTAAATATTAAATCCTCAAAATTAAATAATTATAATAATCCGATAATCCAAAATCTCCAAGACAACAATTCGGGAATCCATCTAGTGGACCCCTAAATAAAATCCCAATTGGAAAATAAATTATTAAAAATAAAATCCAAATCTAAAACATAAGTAAGAATCCTACGTAGTCGGAGGAATGAGTGACTATCTTTGCTTAGCACGATCAAGCTTTACGGATAGAACTGTCGAACACCTGAGAAAAATGATAGTGGGTCAGGCCCACAAACAAGTTCTATTCTAACTACAATCGAAACAGAGACCCGATACGCAGATACATCCTAGATAACTCAGCAATAACTAAAATAGTCCATATATGTATAAATACACACTATAGGACGCTCACTAGCCCATAGGTCTGTCTTAGCCTGAGTAGAACAAATCGCACATAACGTGGGCATGTATACCTAGACCTACCAGGGGACCAAGTATCTACTATGTCCAGTTATCCATCCTCGGCGATATATGCACCCTAACTGTAATCCTGAGACTCAAGCTCATATCTCGGTATCATAATTATATATATATAAAAGTCCATCCAAACAAAGGTATGTCATTCAACTGTTTATTGACCTTACATAAAGTACAAGTAGGACTTAACTTTTATAGTTAATCCATTTGTTATTTCAGAAGGGGTAGGACTCAGTGTTTTGAACTAATCCATCCCTAGTATGCCACCGTCCGATACCGGTGCATACAATCCACAAACTCCATTAATTGATAAACAAATATAAATGTTTCATCAATTAAAATCCAAAGCTTACGCATAATAAAAATCTGATATATATAAGATCATATTATACATCCAATTCAAGATTTAGAAATCATGTCACAGTTATTTAAATCGCTGAAATAATATTAAGCAATTTAATCCTCTATGTCCACAACAGCATGCAAACTTATCTAAACTTCCATACTGTTCAAATCAATAGCATATAGATAAAGATTATGCATCACGGGATCCTAATATGTCATGAAAATAATTTAGAATCCCATTTACCAACCTAAGACAGTCCTGAAATCTCAAAAAATATCAAAATCGTGCTAAAAATTAAGTTCCAGTAAGTAACTAAGCAAGAGAGCTTGCTTTAAAAAATGATAGAGTGTGACGGCCCAAGTTTTGTGAACCCGGTGTGTCAGTGATGACCAAAAGATGACCCAATAACAGATCCAAAATGCGAAAGCAAAAGGTGAATCAAAGGTCTCTAGAGATGCAATGCATTTCTAAGACACCAATGTGTCCTCAGTGAGGTCATGGAACCTAAAGAAAATAAATGCGGAGGTGACGTTTCGAAAACGGACAAAAAGGAACCTAGGGGAAAAATAGTAATTTCCAAGGTAAAAGTAGATACTACTGAGCACACCATTGGAAAGACAACAAAAAATTAATGAATTTAGACTTAAGAATCACTTGATTCGGAGTCCGGATAAAGAAGATATGTCTAACGGAAGAAAGAAGGGTAAAAAGGTCAAAATTGTCAACCCTAGGTCATCTAACCGGTTACCAAGCTTTCCTAACCGATTAGGAGGCCAACACTAGAAGTCATGCATTCTGCCCACGCTCATGTAACTGGTTACGAAGCAAAAAACACTAAGTTCAACAAAAACCTGGCAGCAGGGGTTTTTTGGCAAAAATTAGAATTTTGAGGGCCAAGATGACATTTTCTGGAAAAACACAAAGACGAAACCCCCCTCCCCCCGAAATCAAGTTTTCTACTCGGTAAAGCGGGCAAAAATGAAAAAAACACATTGTGAAATACCTAAAATGCCCCTAGAACAAAATAGGGTAAAAACTAAAAAAAATGCAACCTTAAGTTTTTGTTTCATCAAAAAGGGTATTGTTTGCCAAAGTGAGCATGCAAGTGTATGTAATATGATAAACTAGATGAGCTAAAATGGCCTATGTCCTCATTACAATACATTTACAAGTTTTGACATACCAAGCCTCAAATTCCCACAAATAGGCTACAATGGCAATACTTTATGTAACAACCCGAATTTTTTAGTGTTGAAATTATAATTATATTTCATGATTTAATTGTCAAAGATTGATTGTTTAATTTTTGATTTTGAAGATTTACCCAATTAAAAGATTTAATGGGTTTAATTTTTGTCGTCATAATTAATTTGATTAATTATGATTTGAGCCTTATCAATTGGAGATTGATTTTTTTATTTATTTATTGGAGACTTACCCATTAGATTTTTGGATATGATATTGTAGTTTATAAGAATTAAACTTGTGTTGATTTAATCTTTGTAGCATTTGTATCCATATAATTATAGTTATACAAGGCATCAGGTGGGAAGCATGGGTGCCAAAATTGGAGGTGAGATAATTGATGGGTTGATTGGATTTTGGTTTTTTGTTACAATTGAATATATATATGATATATATATTGTAGCATTCTATTATACCACAGTGAGCCGAAAATGGGTGCAAAGAAATAAAATGGAATTGGTGAATGAAATGGTGATATTTTGTGGGGTCCACTAATTGGATATTAATGGGTTTAGTTTTAGTTATGTGCATTTGTGTGTATATATATATATATATATATATATATATATAAAGTGTATCATGCTAAAGACTCACCTGCCAGCCGTGGGAATTAGAGAAAAGAAAGATTGATATTGTGATGATAAAAAGTGGAAGGAAGGAAAAAGTAGCAAATTTGGTTTCTTGTTACTTTATATATATATATATTGCATATTTGATGGAGAAGGGAACAGGTGCCGAAAATGGGGGAACATAAAAGCAAAATTAGAATGTGTGATGATGGTTTTTGGTACGGGACACACGAGATATTTTGTGGGTTTAATTTAGTTGGCAATCTGATGGTGAGAAATATGAGCAGAAAAGTGGAAATGATGAATTCCACAGGTCCCACGAAGAGCTTTTTGGGCCAAATTCATTTGGCTTTCTCTTTTTGCACGTGATAATATTTAGAGACAGATTGATTGTCTTGTTTGTGTTTGTCAGATGAATTAGAAGATGAAATGGGTATTGCCAGCCGACACACTTGAGAGAATAGAGATATGGAAAGCAAAGAAAGAAAATTGGGAATGTGATTTTGATGGCGGGACCCACGAATTTTTTTCTTAGCAAATTGGTTCTTTGCTTTATGTCCTTCACGTGGCTTTATCTATTTTATGTTTGGTGATAATGTGTTCTTTGTATGTGGAAAAATGAAGAATGAAGATAAGGAGGCAGCATGGTGTGGTAGCCGAGAAAAGGAAGATAATGTGGTGGCGGGTCCACTAGAAATTTTGATCATTGTATTAATTTTTGAGTTGGGATATTTGGTGAATTGTTTGCTTTGTCGGTGTAATGCCTATATATTGAGTGTCTTGTGTGCTAACTAAGCATACAAAAATTGAAGAGAAAAATTAAAGGAAAAACAGAGTGAGCCGAGATTTTATTTGAGTAGAGAGGGAGAGAGTTACAGAGAAGGAAATTGAGGAAACACACCCACACAACCATGATACGCAGAGGGCCGGATTTGGTGATGTTTATGATCCAGTGATAATATAATTCTTTTACAGGGTAGGGATCATCATACCTTGAATGGCTTGGATGATTTGTTTTAAATATTTTATTGATTGTTATTTTGCTAAAATTTCATATACGTATTTTTGTTTAAATGTATATGTATATTTTGTGAAATTAATTTTGCATGAAACTTCTTGAAATCCTTGTTATGGTTTTTTCTACTGTCTCACCCCTACAGTTTCAGGTACCGAGGATGCTTAAGGATTTTTAGCTGTGGGCTTAGGTGGAAGAGTTGGTGTTGAGGGATTAATTTATTTTATTTAGAGATTTTTGTGCATTTATTTGAGGAAATTGATTTAGTATCAATTTAATTAATTTGAGATGTTGTCTTATTTATTTGAGGAAATTTGATTGATTTTGTATCAATAAATGGGTATTTTATTTCTTTTGAGATCCTGGGTGTAAATTGAAGTATTTTGATTCGAATAAATTGAGGATTTTATTTAGAAAAAAATTCGGGGCGTTTTACACTTTAGTTTTAAAGAAAACATATTTGTAACCTTTCAAGTTAATGGCCCTTGGCCTCATGTCATACATGCAAAATGAACACTTCCAAATGTACTTAGATACACATTACAAGAAGGAAGCCATATTAGCTTCTAAAATACCATACATTCATGGTATACAAAATATATAATCCAAAAGTAAAGCATGCTAAACAAGTGCATGTCCTTATACAAAAATGTTTCAAATGGCTCATGAGCCTCTAAGGATGATGAACATCCAAAAACATTGTCTCCTTACCTGTAAAACAACCTAAACCACCTAGGGTGTGTAATCAAGTTACTCGTAGGAAGAAGTATATACGTATACCCTAAAGTTTCAATATCATTGCAAGATCAATATAGACGAATACAAGGGAGCATTCCACTTAACGTCTATGTTCAAGGTGTTCTAAGGGATCATCTTAAGCTAACTTAAATGATTCTTTTAACAACACATATCAACATCAATGTACTTAACAACCTCAATTCGCCAATAGCAAAAATTACAAGTTACAATTAAGCATTGGTTGTTAACTTGGAATTGAATGTGAAATCAATTAGTGGAAGACTTGGACATCACGTCCCGGGGTAAACCAAGATCAAAACGGTTATTCTGGGCATTAACCCGCTGAGAAGATCACCCTAGTGCGCACTATCTTAATTGAGGAGAACTCATACCTCCCGCACTAGAGCCAAACTCTAGTCATGTCACTTATAACAATGTCCCAAGAGAATCCAAAATATATCAAGTTCAAAACTTATAAACCATAATTTAAGGCATGTAAACCACCTTCCATGCACAAGTATTTTTGAAACCACATAAACCATTTCTTAGGGTTCCAAGTCTAGAATGACATAATAAATGACAAGTTCTTAACATGATATATTGTACAAAACAATATCACTAACTTATCAATTCAAATCATGCCTCAACAAGAAACTTTATATACAAGATTACAACATTATAGTATTAAGCTTCTAAAATAATCACAGTTACCAATAATAATCAACTAGAATGTTGAATTTTCATCACAATAGTATAGTAATTCAAATCAATAAGAGTTCTATGTAACATTAATAATCCTACACAAGATACATACACAACATATATGCTTAAATCAATAAACCCTAAGTCAATTATAAGGATTTCCTATAATATGCAATACTACAATTCTAAAAGTATGTACACAATATATATTAAACCTCAAAAGATTTTAAAACACTTAAAATATAAACATACTACCACCCCTACCTCAATAGAGAATTGAATCTCTATAATCCAAAGCAACCAAGTACAAAATGGATACAAAGTTTAGGGTTAATGAAGAGGAGAGTGAGAGGAAACTTTTGTCTCCTAAGGTTTATGGTCTAAGGTGAGTGGAAGGAGGATAAAATGAAGAAATAAGCTATTAACCAAGCTTTCCTCCAATGGTGGCTAGGTTAGGGTTTTGAAGAACAAAGGAAATGAGAAAGGTAAAGTGAAAATGGTAAGTGGAGGGTCTAGAAATCCTCCACTCACTATGTGCTCTTACACTACCTCTCACACACACACAATGCAAGACTAATTTGTGAGCTTACACTTGTCACAAATCCAAGGCTCCTTCCTAGGCTTAATCTCAAGCTTACACTTGTCAACCATCTAAGCCAACAAGTGCACCAATCCTAGGCTAACAAGTGGGTGAATCTCCACCCTCCAAATGTCAAGAGATCATGCTTCTAAGTCATTCCACCCCAATGCCAACAAGCAGCATCATGAGAATGTGACACTTGTCACATTTTCTAAAAATTACAAAAAGGTCCTTTTCCAAATATCTTTCAAATTAAATTACAAAATGGTCCCTAGGATGAAAAATAATTATTTTACGTAATTACACTAAAACCCTAAAATCAAGAATATTTACAAGAAAGTATGCATCCATGCCCTTTACGAAAAAGTAAGCAACTAGAATGTATTTTCTACAAAAGTAAAAATACAAATATCATGGAAAACAAACATTGTGGATGCATGCAAAGCTAAAATCAAATTTGACTACAAAAAGTGAGGTTATGCAAAGAAAGATGATAAATGAGAAGGGAAAAGGACGAAAAAAGAAAAGAAGGAAAAAGACCGGGTCATTACAAAGAGCAAGCTGCCACCCAAGGGAGCCGACTCCCCAACCTTTGGAGCCGGCTCTGTGACTTAGGGAGCCGGCTCCCTAATTCCATGGAGCCGGCTCTCTCTCTCACAGAGAGCCGTGGGCAAAAATACTTAGGGAGCCGGCTCCAACCCCTTGGGAGTCGGCTCTATCCCTATTTCCTGTCGTCATCTTTATCTCTGACAATGTTTAAAACCCTCTATAAGGTTTTGTTTAGGTCCCCAGAAGTCCGTCCATGACCCAAAACTATCCCAGAATTTTTTTAAAACATAGTATGCAACATTAACAACAATTAAACAGAATACGAAACACTTTGATCAACAATTAAATTTTAATTAATCAATACATCATATAAAGTTTAAAGTCTAAATTACATGCATACAATAACAGTTTTAATGTCCAATTTAATCCTGGAGAATATTTAGGCATGCACAGAACACAAGTCAAAGGAAGAGAGCAAAAAATAAAACTTGCCTCTGATTTCAGTTTTGAAACCTTAATGTCGTCTTCCTAAGTTTTTCGGTAATCCAAGACTGTTCTAAATCCCTCTACTGCTCCTAGTTCAACCCACAAGTAAGCTTCAAACACCCCTCCTCGGTTCAGCCCTTGTTTGTGGCAAAAACCCTAACTCTTTCTCTCTGTTTTCCTCTCAAAAATCTCTGTTTGTGAATAGGGTTTGTGTGTGTAATACCCCTAATTTTAAAAGGATAGTCTCGACATTTTAATAATTAGTTTATTGCATTTTTATTTGGTTATTTGTTTATTTGCCTGTTTATTTTATTTTAATTATATGATTACTTGTTTTATTTAATTGTATTGTTTATGTAATTGTTTATTTAATTGTATTTTTATTTTCTTTAAGTGGGTTATTTGTTTTTATTATTTATTTTTCTCTAATGTACCGTATGTGGTAGTTTAGTTAGTTGTTTTGATTAATTAGGTTAAATTAGGGTTTTATATTCTTTTAGGTAGACAAGTTGTGGGACGTAGCCGACTTAGTTAGAGAATGAATTCTAGGTTTATTTTCCTTTTCATAATGGAATTAGAATTAGGTTAAAGTTTTTGGTTATATATATATATATATATATATCATTACGTCGGCTGAGGGTTTTAACATAGACTCAAATTATATTCACGTATAGAGAGGGTTGAGAGAACAGAGCACCAGTTAGGGCTACCAAGGAGGAAGGAAGGGTTTTGCTTATGGATTAAACCAGAGCAGTAGGAGGTGGGCAGTGTACGGACATCGTCAGAAAACTTAGGAAGACGGCGACGAGGTTTTGATTCAAAACCACATAGGCAAGTTTTATTCTTTCTCTCTGTCCTTGACCTGTGTTTTGTGCATGCCTAGATGATCTCTAGGGTTTTAATCAGAAATTAAATAAATCTTGTATGTTTCTAAATCAATCTCATATGTTTTTAAATCAAGATTTAATAGTTTATGTGCTGTAAAATCAATCCGTTTCTTCGCATCAATTGTTATTTCATATGTGTTCTAAGTTTGTGTTGATGATGCATACTAGAGTTTGGATGCCTTATAAGGAATTTTGGAGCATGAATTGAACCCTAGGAACTGTATTAGATATCACAGAACCTTCTGTAACAGCGTCGGAGGTGAAGAAGACGAACCAGAGGAGGAAACGGAGGAAGCGGCTCTCTGTGAGAGAGAGAGCCGGCTCTATGGATTAAGGGAGCCGGCTCCTAAGGTGTGGGAGCTGGCTCCCAATGGTTGAGAGCAGGCTCTCAACTTGTGAGAGCATGCTCTCATGCCAAACTTGCTACAGAATGTGGTTTGAGGGTCTGTTTTAGGTTTTTAAAGTTCCTGGACTATTTTGGGTGATTTGTAGGGACTTTGAACATTATATTGTACTGTATTAGAACCCATAGTGCATAATTAAAGTCCTTATGCTAACGGATTTAACAGCAGGGAAGTTTAAACAATATTGCATGCTGTTAACGGATAGAAATGATTAAATTGTTTAATTTTTCCTGGACTGTTTTGGGTGTTTAGTAAGGACTCCAAATATTATATTATGTTGTATTAGAACCCACATTGCATAATTAATGTCTTTATACTAATGGATTTAACAGCAAAGAAGTTTAAACAATCTTGTATACTGTTAACGGATAGACAGGATTAAATTGTTTAATTTTGTTTTAACAATTTAACGGACTGTAGCATAATCATAAACCTTGTTTTGGATGTACAATAGGATCATTTATTTATTAGACTTGACCTATGCTTGCTCTGGATTCTAATTGCTGAAATAATAAATTATGTTATGCAATTACATGGATTACTGTTTTAGTTGATAATTGCTGAACTACTAAACTATGTTCTGTCAATTACATGGATTTATGTGTTGAACTTTAATTGCTGAATTACTATATTAAATTCTGTCAATTACATGGATGCTATGGATTGTATGCACTAGTATAGGATGGTGGCATACTAGGGATGGTTTAGCTAAAAACGCTAAGACCTGCCTCGTTGGAATAAGGGAATGGATTGTAAAAATTGAATCCTACTTATATTTAAGTCTGATCAACTGAGTAAAGTTGAGTGACTACCTAGATTAGTTATTATTTGTGGTTAAGTCAGATTAACTGAATAAGTTGAGTGGCTAACCGAATCATAAATCTTAAGTCAGAACAAATAATTGAATGACGTACTCTGGTTTTGGACGGACTTTAAATATATGATTATGGTACCACGATATGAGTTTGAGTCTCAGAGTCGATGGTTAGGGCGCGTATATGCAGTGGATGCG